TTTTATCTTTATTTCCATTTATGTTTGAGCCTATCTTCTATATAAGAAGGCCATGTATTTCTTATGATTAATATATTGGAATACAAATAATTTGATTCCATCAAAACTAAGTCCTACCCAATATATTTATGGCAGATTTTTTTTTAATAGAATTTGAAAAATTTTAATTGTGAAAAAAATAAATAAAAGGAGAGAATACATAGGGTCTAAAACTTGAGAGAGTTTTGAGGAGTTTGGTTTGGTTAGTTTTTTGTTTTTCTGTTTTTTTTTAATGAAGTTAGAAAGGTTTTAAACATGAAGAAAAAGATAAAAGTAACAAATTTTGAAAGGTATCAGATTAAAATCGAGAGTTCTTTTGTCTATGGTCTTAAATTTTAAGAACCTCCTTTTTCGAGAATTAGTTGATTCTTGTGCAGATTGGCTTGCTAGTCAAACAGTGGTTCTTCTCTTAGGTTTACATATTGGTGAAAAACCTCCTAATAGTCTCTTTTTCCCTATTGATTGCATATGTAATGGGGTCTCCATGCCCCGTCTCGTCATTTTTTCTCAGTTTGATGGGCTTTAGTCCCATTTCATTCCCAAAAAATTAAAAATTAGAATATAGTGAAATTTATGGGATTGATTGATTATGAGTTTTCTATAAAGATTTATATTTAAATGAAGAGTTTTTTTTTCAAGAGAATTATATTTATTATTAGTTTGTATTTTCAGTATTATAAGAACAAAATGTATGGAAACATATATTTTATATTATAAAGTACATTTATAAGTACAAACTTAAAATATCTATAAACAAAATTAAAATAAATAGGTAACAATATTATATTATATATACTAATATATGAAAAATATTATGGCTTCTATAATTGGGAGGGTTAGGTGATCGCCTCACTCGCCTTTACCCTTAAGCCGGCCCTGGATGAGTCTAGTGAGTAAGCTACACAATTTTTGTCCCAACAGTGGTGAAGATGGAGTAGACTGGACTCTAGAAAAAATAAGTCCTTCACGACGAAAACTGCTTTCCTAAAATTTGCGGAAGCCCCTCAGAAATTATGGGTTCCCTTGATCAACTCCATATTTGCTCACCACCCGAAAAGCTCCAAAGGAAATTAATCAACTGGGCTCTTTTTCCCAATGTCCAGCCTCTGATTGAGAAACGAGAAAATCCTTGACCACTTGTTTATCCATTGCCCTTTTGCCTACAATAGTTGCTTTTATTCAAGGTTTTTGGCTTAACATTTTGTCTTCCAAAGAGAACCATTGGAAGTTCTTA